TATATGATTCTGTCTCTCCCATCCTGGACATGATGAGGGTAGTAACCTAGTTCAATACAGTGCTTAGCATACGTGTGTGTGTGTGTGTGTGTGTGTGTGTGTGTGTGTGTGTGTGTGTGAGAGAGAGAGAGAGAGAGAGAGAGAGAGGCCTCCACTATATAGCCTGGGTGGTCTACTATGTAGACCAGGCTAGTCTTAAACTCACAGAGCTCATCTGCCTCCTTGAGTCCTTAAGTGTCACCACCACACCTGGCCCACAAAGAGCTTTTACAAATGACTGGGTTTCAGTTACAACATTGCACCTAACTAGAAGCAGCCTAATAGGGATGCCAGGCTGCCTTAATGTTTATGCATCATGGCTCCTGAGATCAATGAATGGGAACACACACAAATGGCCATCTTTATACCAGTTATGCTAACCCTGTACTGTGATGACACCAAGGTCGTCCTCCCAGAAGGACTACAAGGTTAAGACGTCCCTGCCCCATCCCAAGAGCCAGCTTTCCACCACACCCACATTTCTGAAGCAATAGAACAAGCTACGAGGAAAGGCGAACAGAAACACGAAGGTCCTGAAACAATGACCGCTCACACCAGCGTCTGCAAACACGCAAAGACTAGAAAGCGGCTGGGAGTGTGACGTCAAAGCCCTTTTTGGCATTATTCTTTGACAGATGCCAAGCTTCCTTGCCTTCATGGAATTTTTTAATCCATGGGAGATAACTAAAATTAAAATGTATCAACCAGGGTGCTGTAGAGATGGCTGAGTGGTTTAAGTACAGTGGCTGCCCTTTCAGAGGACCTGGGTTCAATTCCCAGCACCCACGTGGTGGTTCACAACTGTAAGTCCAGTTTTAGGGTTCTGATATCCTCTTTGGCCTCCAAAAGCACTGTACACACACACAGTGTACAGACATACATGCAAGCAAATCAGCCATACATATCAAATAAATACAATGAAGTTTAAAATAATGTTCCTACCATTATGTGCACAGAATGGTTTGAGTATTGATTCAGGATGTCAAATGGATACCTTCTGTCCATGAAACCACTTCACCATTCCCCACAATGGCTGCCTGCCATGCTTGCTACAGGGCCAGGATGGGTACCTCTCAGAAACAAACCAATTAGGAAGGGACTAGCAGATGGGAACACCGAGTATCACCCTCTCCCTGCCCACTCTCGGAGAACAAGGCTGGAGTCACAGGAAGTTTTGGTCTCACACACGTCTATGCCAAGAGGAGCGTTTAGTTATGTGGCCACGGATGGAGCTGTGTCAGAGTCTGGGGACAACTGTTATGTCAGGTGCCAGGCGCTCAGCACCCGGGTGCACTGGGGAGGGAGAGGTCCCTCACAGGCTCCTGTGATATACTGCATGGTCACTTCCGGAACCACAGGAAACCTTGATTCAAATCTGATGACAGGCCTAGGCTTTGAAATTTATTGAATCCACCAGGGCATTTCCAAATTCAAGCCTTATTCTGAGCAGGTTCTAAGAATGACCCTCATCCCACTTCCAGACACATAAGCTGTGCAGACCTGAATACTCCCACTTCCTGTCATCAAGCAGGACGCTCAGTTAACTTGGCCAGTGCTCTGTCACTTAGGATTCATGCAGGCAGCACAAGGGAGCAGCAACTCTACGGCCTCAACCTATTTCTACATAAGTGAGACCAGGGGCTGGGGAGACCATACGACAAACGGCAGGGCAGGCCCCGCCTCTACCACACAGCGACTCTCACGGAGGCCCCAGAGCAGCTGCGCTAGTGACATGCCCTCTCCCAGCCTCCCCATGTAACAGGAGCTGAGTGGATGAAAATCTAACACCCTATTAGTGAGGCAAGCACAGAGGCTGACCCTGCAGCTGCCTAACAGCATCTGCAAATCAATGTGAGAGCTCTTCTAACCACAGGCCAACCCACGGCCTCAGCACAAAGCAATTTCAGGCAACATGAAACAAAGGTAAAGGAACTGGTCATGAAGAAAACAAGAACAAACCAGAATCAATCTGCACCCACGACGTTCCAAGTTTACCTAAGGAGGAAAGCATACTCAGGAGGAAAGTCTGCAGAAGCCGGGTCATAAATTAAACAGCAGGATTGGCAATTTTTACACACGAAAGCCACAATCCTGGCTGGTATACACTTGAAATCCCAGCCCCTGGGAGATGGAGGCAGACGGAAGAAGAGTTCACAGGGTCACCCTCACTAAATATCGAGTTCAAGGCCAGCCTGGACTCTACGAGACCCTGCCTCCAAAACAAAATCAAACAAACAAGCAAGCTGGGATGGCTTAAGTCATCCTGATTTGCATATTGTTAAGTCTTCCATCTCACCACCAGCTTGTACCCTGCTGATGGCTACACTCTAGTTAGGCTGAGGGGTGGGTGGATGGGAGCATCATGGGCCTTGAGGCTGGAGCCTGAGCTCTCAAGCCCTGCTTCTGAAATGTAAACTACAGCACACTGTTTTATTGGCCAGGGCTATGTGTCATAGACTGCCACCATGAAGGGGACAGATATGGAAACCAGGATACAAGTACTTTTGACACTGATCTGTTCTGACCAGGTTTGGTGAGACACTGTTTCTGCTTGTGTGTGTATGGGAGGATCTGCGTGGACTCTACACTAGAAAGTATAGGGCTATTCATCCTGGGGGGGGGGGTAGCAGGGACAGCGCCCACTTTCCTGAAGTCCAAGCTGGAGAAACAGTTCATTCAATCACTCAACACAAAGCTACAGAGCTCTCTAAGAGCCCACGCCACAGGCGTCACTGCTTGAGTGAGAAGCAGTGGTCCTGTGCCCACTGCATGCTGGGGACTTATCCAGGACCACACTCTGAGCAGGTTGTGTATAGTGGTGAAGTGGTCTGAGGGGGATGAGAGGTCCAGACAGTACTCTACATCAAAGGGTTGGTCTATAAGACAACTGTCTAGACACTTCAGGATAGTTCTAGTAGTCAAATGTAGTATACAACGGATTGCATCCATGAATAAAAAAAAACTATCATAATAGACAGGTAAAAGTCAGCTGAGCAAGCCGGGCGTTAGTGGCACATGCCTTTAATCCCAGCACTCAGGAGGCAGGGGCAGGAGGATCTGTGAGTTCGAGGCCAGCCTAGTGTACAGAGCTAGTTCCAGGACAGCCAGGGCTACACAGAGAAACCCTGTCTCAAAAAACCAAAAAACCAAAAACCAGTCAGCTGAGCAAATTCAAATATGGACTACACATGAAATGATGAAATGACACTATTAGTAGTATCAAGATAATGTTTTCCTTTTATGTGCTGGAGTGGAACCCAGTGCTCATGCTGAGCAGGTGCATGAGCACTGAGATGTGCTCCAGCCCTGGCAGACACTTTCAAATGTTGATTATTTTGTGTGTGTGTGTGTGTGTGTGTGTGTGTGTGTGTGTGTACACTGTGGGGCACGTGTGGAGGTCAGCGACTTTTAGGAGGTGGTTTTTACCTTCCACCATGGACTGTGAATAGTCTTAACGTGACAGTGCCAGTTAGTATGAAGCCTCTTTCAACTGTTCAATAGCTTGGGGGGGGGGGGGCAGAGACAAGAGGCGATGCAGATCTAACGGGCCTGGGATGTGATCAGATGAGCCAGTGTTTGCGGGACAGTGATGCAATCTGGCAGAGTTTACAGAGCAGCAGCCTGGCTTGGCAGTGACTGCAGGTGACAAGGGCCAGGCTGAAAGGACACAGATTCCCATGTTTGTGTATGCTCAGGAGGAATGAGCCTCAGGACCTAGTCCAAGCCTCTACGCCTTCCATCTTAAAGATTTATTTATTTTATGTGCATGGGTGTTTTGTCTGCATGTGTTATCTACATTGATGCAGTGCCTACAGGGGTAGAAGATGGTAGGTACTCCACAAGGCGTTTCAGATGCTTGTGAGCTGCCTTGTGGGGGCTGGGAATCAAATCCCAGTCTTCTGCAAGAAGAAACTGCTCTTAACAGCTGCTGATCACCCTCCACCCCCACCCCCCTATTCCCCCCCCCCCCCCCCCCCCCGCAGGGTTTCTCTGTGTGGCTTTGGAGCCTGTCCTGGAACTTGCTCTGTAGACCAGGCTCACAGAGATCCGCCTGCCTCTGGGATTATGATGGCACTGCTGAGCATTCTTTCAGGCCTCCCAAAAATCTATATTCTTTTTCTTTTCGTGGGGGAGGGTTGAGACAGCACCTAACTATGTATCTCTGGCTGACCCATCTCGAACTTAGAGATCTGCTTGTCTATGCCTCTCTAGTGCTTAAGGTGTGTGTGCGCCAGCTCTCCAGCCTTAGGTGTAACTAATAATGCTTGAGAATCCACACTGACAGGTCCCTTCAAGACCTCCTCCTCCTCAAAGATCCCTGAAAGCAGCTAGGAGAAGGTAGACAGAAACAATGCCATGAAGCTGGAAGGCAGAGAGACATGGAAGAGCCCTAAGTCAGTAAAATGAAGCATCCTCACAAGTAAAATTTTGTTATCTCAAGAACAGAAAACCTCAAGGCAACGTCCGTCCCTTTGTGGTATCTCTCACTGCCCACATGCAAAAACCCAGCTACATGATCACAAGATACTCAAGCACTGTGACCGTTTTCTTACCTCAGAGCAGAGACCATAACTAACATGAGTCTCAGGCGCCTCATCAGAATACCAGGGATGGTTAACAGTCTCAAATACTTGTTCCTATTACTAAGTGTAATATGTGTTCCATATAAAGCCCTTCCCCTGCCCTCATCCAGTTTATAGACCCACAAGGGGACACAAACACACACTTCCAAATAACGAATCCCACGGTAAAGCTGACTTGTCTGAGGGCAGGACTGCTACCACACACTTCTAAGTCTAGTTGGTGCTGCACGCTAGCCTCCTCACTAAAGGCCTCAGGGGTCAGATCACCCAGCTCCTCTCTGTTGACATCTGTCATTTCCAGAGAGTTCACAAATCCCAGGCCTCCTGGAAGCTCCCTGCAAGGAGTGGAAGGCATCACGTGCTGTGGGAGATGCTTACCTGTGGCTTCAATGTACTCAATGCATCTTTCAATAAAAATGGGGATTGGCTTCTCTGGAGTCACCACAGTTGTTAAGGGTACCCCAAAATAGTTACTCTCCCAGGTTGCCTTTGTGATGGACGGTCGGGGTTTGGGCTTTGGTTTCTGTGCAGGAAAGAAAAAAGGAAGTACAAAAACAAAGTTGAGTATCATACGTATCTGCAAGGTTTCCAGAGAGGATCTGACAGTTGGTAGCAAGTGCTGAAAAGACTTCAAGCAAGACAAACAGACCCAAATTTGCTCATACCCTTAATAGCATCTTCTGGCCTCCAAATATCACACAAGATACTGAAAAGCTGTCACATAGTGACACCCTTAGTGTGAGAGTGCATTATTAGAACTAAGATGTTTATAAGAACCAGGCCAAGTTTACTCAACAACACAACAACATAATGGCACCCACATCCTCCATTTGGGGACATACTGGAGTAAACAGGAAGTTTCCCAAACAATCAACATGATAGACGGTATATATTCAGAGATGGCTATTGCACTGGAATGACCAAACATGGGTGCAAAAGCTAGTAATGTCCTCTTTCCAGAAAATAAATACAGCACATATTCTGTTAGAGCTGACATTCTCAAATGAGAATTCCCTTTGGTTATCAGCCCCGGGTTAATTCCTGCTGTTTTACACATTAGGAAATGGTAAAGTCAGCTAACCAAACAAAACAAGTAACATGACCCAGGCCCAGCAGGAGCTCCTGGCTAGCCTGGGCTACACTGTAATTCTATTCCTTCAGTCCTCGTGAAGCAGGTGGGCGGAACAGTTGCAGCCACTGAGATTTTACTAAATTAACAAACCAGTCCCTCATAACCTTTCACTTTCCCAAGGAGAAGAAGTCCCACAGGCCTAAATGACTCAGTTAGTGACAGACCGTGCCTGACCACCTACGCCCATACTGTTTAACGTTATATATAAGTGAGATAGTCCGCCTCAAAATCACTCAAACTGTGCCCACTCCCTGTTAAACTGCATATTTTTATTTTGAAGCTCATATTGGAGGAACAAACAAACAAACAAACATGATTTATACCAATGGAAACTCCCCAAAGCCAAGGAAATGGGCTTAGAAAGTTTACCTTTCTTAAAATATCTAATAAAAGAAGAGGGAACAGAATAGGGTCCAGGTAAATTAGAACAGTGTGCCTCTAGTAATCCGGTTTCATGTCCAAGTGGCTCAGCCCAATGCAGCAGGGACTATAACCCTATTTAGGGATAAAATCCACAGAAGGAGACATCCAACAACCAACGCAGGCCAACTTTTCCCTTTCCTTCTGCCCATTTTCATTCATTTTAGTACTCCTTACAAGGGAACACATTACTTCCCGTGTAGTCTGAGATTCTTTGAGAACTTCCTGTGCAAAGGAGAGGGGTGGGAGCGGAAGCAAGAATTAGGAGAGGGTAGAGGCAAATTAAAAAGTACATTGGGCTAACTGGTAATGCCCCAGAAAACACGAAAGGCAAAAGAAAGCCTAACCATGAGCCTCCCACGTAATTCAATGTGGATGGAGGTTCATGTGTGCCATGTGGCTTGGTCCTGCCACACACTCGCCATAGCTCTTGAGGTACGAAGGCACTGACTGTGGGAAAAGCAAACTGGCGACTTAAGATCTGTCTTTACGACAGAGCCGGACTGCCCAGCAGTGTGAGTGTGTGTGTGTGTGTGCGTGAGTGTATGCGCGTGTGGGTCACATGCCTGTAATCTACACTTGCACGAAGCATCTAAGCTTTGCTGGCAGACACTACGTGCAACGCCATGTACAACAGTTACGTGGCTGCTATGGGGGTAGCCCACTGCTTTTTGATTGGATCTGAGCCCTGCCGCACAAGCGGGAACCCTGGTACTGTAAACCTGGTGAAAATTCCACCTGGGAGGACAGGACAGACAGCACACAGAGGACAAAGGACCGACTGCTAAGCTGACACATTACCACACTGCCTTCTAAACACTTACACCCAACTCTGGTCAGAAGTGTCTGTCAGTACAGAGACCCAAAAAAGTGCCGAGAATAAACGATTGTTGAGTGAGTGCTCAGCTGTGATCAACAAACCCCACAAAGGCTCAGGAGACATCTTCAAGAGGCAGGCAGGGAAAAGGTAAGAGCCAAAGGATGAGGAATGGTACGGACTTCATACAATGTATCACTGCACTCACAGTCACAGCAGCTTCAGACCCACCAGGTCAAGCCAGCAATAATCCCAGCATGTACGGTGGAAGGGCTCATAAGGCTCCATCTAGCTTATGACAGTTGAGGCTGGTCTGCAAGAGGAAGTCATTTTCCTTCTAGGTATGTTGCCCGTGTGCATGCAGGCAACAGCAATTGGACTCAGCATGCTTAAAAAAAAAAAAAAAAGAAAGAAAGAAAAGAAGAAAAAGACATGAAAGCGAAGTGTGTGGTTTAGAGGGTCAGTCGGGTCAGGGTTGGTGATGATCAAGCCACCTTGTATATACATGTAGGAAGTTGTCAAAGAGCCTGGTGTGGTGGCCCACACCTTTGATCCCAGCATTTAGGAGGCAGAAGCAGGTCAATCTCTGAGTGTAATAAGGCCTGCCTGGTCCACAGTTCTATGACCTGTTTCAAAAAACAAAAAAGCCTGGAACGGTGGTACAAGCCTTTAATCTTTGGGGGCAAGATGTAAGGTCAGCAAATCTACGTAGTAAGACTCAACCCTCATCTCCCCTACCCCCAAAAGAATTTAACACACTGGAGATGTGGCTCAATTGGTAGCATACTTGCAGCATGCATAAAACTCTGGGTTTGAAGCCCAGCACCACATAAAACTGGGTGTGGGGTGCATGCCTTTAATAAAAGCACTTGGAGGTGGAGGAAGAGGATCACAAGTTCAAGGTCATTCTTGACTAAAACAGCAAGTTTGAGGTCAGGGTGGGTAATATAAGACGATATCTCACAGGAGAAAAACAGGTGTCAAGGTTCAATCTGACTGATGTGGCTTGGGGTCAAGTACTGATCATCTCTATCCACCTCCCTGGCCACAGTGTTACGGGCAGGCCCTTCCAGCTGATGCACAGTGTTGCAGCCACATAACCTTGGGTCAAGCAATGTTCTCCAATACCTCTGCCACTGAAAAGGTCAGTTCTGGAGTGACTGACCATCTGCATTTAAAACAAACAAACAAACAACTTCCATCAATGCCACCAAATTTCTCTGTCAAAACAGAGATCACATTATTTCTCAGTAAAACTGAAGCCTCCAAATTAGAGTGTTGCTAAGGGAAAATGTGGGACCAAACGGCAGGAGTTGACCCCGATTCCCCCAGTTATTACTGGGATGCTTTCTGGCACTAGTTCTCAAATCTAGTCAAATGGAAACAGCACACTCCTCAGAACGATGTTCAAGAGTCACCGGCTAGAGATACTTGTCTTACCTATGTATTTTCTATGTACAGATCCCAAGTCTCTCTCTCTTTGGTGGTACCAGAGACTGAATTTAGTGCAGAGAACCTGATAGGCTAGCCTTCCACCACTGAGCTCACGTTCACTTCTGGTGGATCCTAGGATAGCATGCTACTGCTAGCCATGCCCCAGGATAACCCACTCCCACAAAAAGCATGCATACTAAGAACCTTGTGGCCATGCCACTGAGTTGGCTCAGCAGATAAAGGTGTCTGCTACTAATGCTAAGGGCCTTTTTCTATTCTCAGGACCCACATGGTGAAGTAGAAAACCTCTTATCTCTATAGGCACAAGACATGCCTGAGCCTACACACACAGAAAATAATGGAGCAGGGGTGGGGTGGGGAGGAAAAGGAAGGGAGGAACTCTGAAGATAAGACCAAGGAAATCCCACTGTGGTGGGTCTCTGTGACGATAGAACTTGTACTATATAGGACTACAGTTTTATGTTAGGTTCATGGGTTAGGTAGAAGGAGTAAATGGATGTGAGTAAGAAATAAAAGCAGGTACACTGACTATCTGGAGAATTTCTAAGGGGTGTGTGTGTGTGTGTATGCGTGTGACAGCTTACTTTTTATTGCTGTGATAAAAACACAAGCAACCTGGGGAGGAAAGTTTTTACTTGGTTTATAACATCCCTATTACAGTTCATCATCCAAAGAAGTTGTGGCAGGAACTCAAGGCAAGAACCCAGAATCGAGAACTAAAGTAGAGACCATGGGGGGAGGCTCTTCCTGCCTTACTTCCTTTTTCTTATTTTAGTTTTTGAGACAGGGTCTCACTATATAGCCCTGGCTTTACCATGTAGACCAGGCTGCTCTCAAACTCAGAGATCCACCTGCCTCTGCTTCCAGAGTGCTGGGATTTAAGGTGTGCGCCACCGCTGCCCTATACTAGTGTTTACTTTCTTATGTACCTCAGGAATACCCAAGGATGGTACTACCCACAGTGGGCTGGGCCTTCTACATCAATTACCAGTCAAGAAAATACCCTGTAGGCCAATATGATGGGAATATTTTTTTTTCAATTGATATTCCCTTTTCTCAAATGACTCAATCTTGTGTCAAGTTGCTAAAAAAAAAATAAATAAAACAAAAAACTAACCAACCATGTGTGTGTGTGTGTGTGTCCGCTGATGCCAGTGGTGTTAGATTCCTTGGAGCTGGAGTTACAGGCAACTGTGAGCCATCTGATGTGGGTGTTGGGACCTGAACCCTGATAGAGTATAGTGCTCTTCACCTCTGAGACGTCCCTCTCTCCAGCCACAGATGATGACAATGATGCTGCTATTATTTTAAAAGGCCAGGGTGGCCGTAAGGTCCTGGGCCCTCTTGCCCCTGTCTCTCCAGTGCTGGGATTACAGGCATGGGCCACTATGCCCGGTTTCTAGCAGGCAATGTCAAGCTGGAAAAAGGAGAGCCCTAAGGCAGTTATGTTCAAACAGCTGTGGAGCCGCCAATGGCGCTGAGGAGCAGACTTACTTTGTGCAGTCATGAGAGCAGGGTGACAGACAGATTAGTCCGCTTACCTCTTTCACCTCAGAGAGCCCAAGGTGTAGTCCAACCCTCCAATTTATGAATGTGGCAATGGAGATAGCATTTAGAGTATCAATCCCCTATGCTGGGTGACATGAATTCCACCCCACCTCCTCACGTGCATTCTCTTAAGCTTTAACTCTGGATTGGG